GGCGTCGTTTCCCTCGGTGCTGAGGCTCTGAGGTTTTTCTGCCGAGGTGATACACCCTTGGGGGCAGTTTCGTGACACGTGAAATTTAACTGGTGTTGGTCGAGGCACGGGCTGTGCGGAACACGGCACAGCTCAGCAGCAGAGCTGTGAAAACACAACCTACACAGCTGAAGTTCCTGTCCTTTCCCTGGAGCTTTACCTGAGCCTGGGCAGAGCTCTTGGCCATGAGAGCGAGTCTCGTTGTTTTAATCCCACTGGCAGATAAACACGAAGCATTAATGAAGGCTCAGTGCTCCTCCCACTGACTGCGTCCCTGTGTCAGGTGAAGGGCTCTGAATTACCACTCTGGGGATCGGGGAACCATAGAATCATAGAACAGTTTGGGTTGGAAGGGACCTCAAAGACCATCCAGTTCCATCCTCCCTGCCCATGGGGAGCAGGGACACCCATGTCCCATGGGCAGGGACCCCTTCCGCTACACCAGGTTGCTCAAAGCCTCACCCAACCTGGCCTTGAACACTTCCAGGGATGGGGCAGCCACAGCTTCTCTGGGCAGCCTGTGCCAGTGCCTCACCACCCTCAGAGGGAAGAATTTCTTCCTTAGATCCCATCGAAATCTCCCCTCTTTCAGTTCAAAGCCATTGCCCCTTGTCCTGTCACTGCACACCCTTGTCCAAAGTCCCTCTCCAGCTTTCCTGTAGGCCCTTTAGGCGCTGGAAGGTCTCCCTGGAGCCTTCTCTTCTCCAGGCTGAACAGCCCCAACTCTCTCAGCCTGTCTCCAGAGCAGAGGTGCTCCAGCCCTCGGATCATCTCTGTGGCCTCCTCTGGCCCTGCTCTAGCAGCTCCATGTCCTTCTGATGTTGGGGACCCCAGAGTAGAACGCAGCACTGCAGGGGGGTCTCAGGAGAGCAGAGCAGAGGGGCAGAATCCCCTCCCTCGCCCTGCTGCCCACGCTGCTCTGGATGCAGCCCAGGACACGGTTGGCTTTCTGGGCTGCCAGTGCATGGTGCCGGCTCATGTTGAGCTTCTCCTCAACCAACGCACCCAAGTCCTTCTCCTCAGGGCTGCTCTCGATCCATTCTCCGCCCAGCCAGTTACCTTCAGAAAGCAGCAGATGTTTTCCTGCCTCCCAGCTGGGCATGCCAGGACTGATCAACGCCTGCTCTTTTGGAGCTGCTTCTGGAACGTGGCGGAGTCGCCGGCGTTTCGCTCGCGCTGCCTGTACCTGAATCAGCGGCCATGTGTTGGCTGCTTTGGGGCTGAGGAAGTCTGACCGTGCTGGTCTCTGGGGGAGCTGGGTTTGGTGGGAGCTCTGCTGTCACCCCCTCTGTGGCCTCTGGTGAGGTGTGAGATGTCTGAACCTCGGCGTCTCCTCGTAGAGCTGTTGATGGACTCCGCAGTGTCTCGAGTTGGTGATGGTGACCCAGCACACACCACTTGTTTCTGGTCACTTTATTTTGTGCTGTGCTCCCCAGAATAAGACAAGCTGTTCCATTACCATTACCTCGGCCTTTGTTTTCTCAGCTGTGTTCCTGGATGTGACTCGTTTCTTACTCCAGCAGAGGGTGATTTAATGGGAGTGAAGGACCTGGCGTTTTTCTCACCTGCCATGACACTCCCTGTGGCTTGTGTTGAAAAACCAATACCTTTTTACCTCTCCTGGGTGTCAGGACCCCCTGAGGGTGGTTGTTGAGGTGTGGGCAGCTTCTCCCTGTCCATAGCTGCTCTCAGCTCTCCCTCAGGCTGGTGTGGAAGACCCCAGAGTCAGACAAGCAAGAGGAGAGGGAGAGCCGTCTGTTGCTGTGGCTTCGCTTGCTGGTGATGCTGTGCTTGTCCTTGCGGCACCCCAGCCCGCTGGTGTCCCTGGGTGTGTCTGTCTCCTTGTGAAACGGCACAGGGAAGGTCCACGCTTCCCCTGGTGCAGCCAGCTGTGAGTGGCTCTATGTTATGCCATGATAGCATAGAAAGCCAGCTGTGTCCTGGGCTGCATCCAAAGCAGCGTGGGCAGTGGGTCGAGGGAGGGGATTCTACCCCTCTGCTCTGCTCTCATGAGACCCCCCTGCAGTGCTGTGTTCAGCTCTGGGGCCCCCAACATCAGAAGAGCGGTGGGAGGGGGTCCAGAGGAGGCCACAGAGATGCTCTGAGGGCAGGAGCATCTCTGCTATGGAGACAGGCTGAGAGAGTTGGGGCTGTTCAGCCTGGAGAAGAGAAGGCTCCAGGAGACCTTCCAGCACCTTCCAGTACCTAAAGGGGCTACAGGAAAGCTGGAGAGGAGCTTTGGGGCAATGGTGTAGTGACAGGACAAGGGGCAATGGCTTTAAATGGAAAGAGGGGAGATTTCAATGGGATCTAAGGAAGAAATTCTTCCCTCTGAGGGTGGTGAGGCACTGGCACAGGTTGCCCAGAGAAGCTGTGGCTGCCCCATCCCTGGCAGTGTTCCAGGCCAGGCTGGATGGGGG